ATAATATGCACGGTCACACGTGGCATGAGAGATAGCCACATAAATATTAGTAAGTTAATTCTTTCTCTCCTTATTTGAATGATTTTATACAGTTTTGGTAAGTTTTTCTCCACAATATCAAGGTGGGCGTCTAGATGTTGACATTGTTGCTGACATTGCAGAGAAAAACTTACCAAAATTGTATAAAATCATTCAAATAAGGAGAGAAATAATTTATTTGCTAATATTAATGTGGCTACCACTCATGCCGCATGTGCACCGTGAACATTATAGCAATTGAGATGCTCTGAAGTGGTGACCGATGAGTGTTGAAATGGCAACTAGCGATGCAGCAGACCTGTAGCACAGGTGAGAACGAGAAGGAGATGAAGGGTTTGAATTGCGCGGAGTTGCATACCAACGGGCGAGAACGGGATTCGTGTGGCCTTGGTCTCTTTTTTTTTTTCTTTCCGAGTAATGGTCCTAGTTTTGTCCACTCAAAAGTCTCAAGTCCTATTTTTGACATTATTTTATGAAATAATAATACAAATTAAAATAGAAAATATGAGTTTCGTTTATAAAAAAGTTGAAACTTAATTGATATTCACCATTATAGATGTGATCATGCAAATACTTAACAATTATAATAGAGAAAATTACAACTTTAGTTTCGTAACTTTCGACTATAACCATTATTAATCTTGTAACTTTACTCTGTTGCAGATTTGGTCTTGAAATTAATACTAAGTATTTTTTTGCAATTTAAATTTTTTCAGCAGAAAGTAGTACACTTTTCAGGCATAAACTCACTGGAAAAGATGTCACTGACATCAAATTGCCAGCCGAAAAGTAAAGTTTCCGGTGAAAAAGTCCTTAAATTGTACTGCGTAATAATTTATTAGTTACATAATCAAATCCGAAACTAAATAACTTTACAAAACAAATAACAAACATAGAAGTTACGGAATAAAAAAAATTTAATTCTACCTTCTTTTCTGAAGATATTTTTCCACAAATCTAATTTCTTTATAGGATCAACTCATTTATTTTTTGTTTCTCATTTACCTAGTTTTCAAATGATCCATGTTCAAATTTCTCTAAATATGACTAATTATTATCATGTTTTAATTACGAGACTTGTTTCATAATCCATAAATTGACAACTCCCTCTCTAGGGCTCAGCCGCTAGGGTTAACTGTCTCCGCTCTCAGAATTTTCGAGGTGCAGCCGGTTTGAGTTCTATAGCTCTGGGTAGCTATTTTCTGTTCTCGCGTAATGACTGCAGGGCGACGCACGAAGGACGGATTTGCAGTCTTCTCCAACGGCGGAAGGAAGGAGGAAGGTCGTGACTTTTGTAGTGCGGCTTCACGACGGAAGTAAGGATGAAGGCTTCTTCCGCGACGAAGCAGTCTCGAGGAAGAATGATGCAGCTGAATTGAAGTCGGTAGTTCGATGGAAGACGTGGTCCATCAATACAAACAAATGGCTATTGGGGATGATAAGGAAGAGGTAGTGTTTGACGAGGAAGAAGAGGGAGAGGAATCGAATAAGAGCACGACTGATTTCCCAGTGGTAGGTTTAATTCTGACTGATCGTAAGATTAAATTTCAGTTTTTCAAAGAATTGATGCCCTCGCTCTGGAGACCAGTTAAAGGTGTTTCAATCCAGGAAATTGGCGACAAAAGGTATATCTTCACTTTTTATCACATTTTAGATATGAGGCGTTGATAACCGCTTTCGCGGCGTTGTAGTAAAATGGAGTCTAACCTTTCGGTTTTCCCCGAGTATCGTGTCTCTTGAGGAATGGCGGAGAAGTTTCTCAATTTAATTTTAGTCACGGGCTATCGCTAATCATTGGAAGCTTTTTCAATATAAAAAAAGGTGATTGTGTTCTAAATTATGCCAATTTATAACTAGTAGCAAGATTCAATTTAAAGATTGATGTTTAAAGATTAAGTGTTTTAAGGATTGATGCAAATAAGGGTAATGAATTGAGTAATTAGAAATGTATATATTCTTGAACCTAGTAATTAGGGAAATTAAAACTAAAATTGGACTAATAATTTCTTTCCCATAGACAAGAATAGAAACTATTTTTCATTAATTTATCCTATTTCTAGGTATCATTAATGTGTTTAAAATGACTGGCTTAAAATATATTCTAATCCCATAGACAAGGTAGAAATAATTTTCCAATATTTTAATTAATAAAAATAGCCAAATTCATTAACTAGTTAAACTCTTTATTTAAGCAATTGAATTTATTTCTCATAGACAAGATGTAAATCCCTTTCATTAAATTATCCTATTTCTAGGCCTTATTAATGTGCTCAAATATGGTTGGCTTAAATTATTTTCTAATCTCATAGACAAGTTAGAAATAATTTTCCAAGAATTTAATTAATGAAAATGGCTAACAATTACTAATTACTATTTCATCATTTTTAAACAACTAATACAATTTATTAATTTTAATCCCTAATTTTCGGTCAACAAGTCAATCCATATTCCTTTTCTCAATTCATGCCCAAGACAAATTTAGCTACTAGATTTCATTTTTGCATTTAACAATATAATGAATATATTCAACATGACAAGGGATTAAACATGTATAATAGCAAAAAATTAAACAAAAAGTATTTTCTGGAAAAATAAACTTGTAGGAACTAAAATATAACTTTCTGGAATTTTTCACGAATTTATGAACCTAAAATCCAATTTTAACAACTAATTGATAATTTTCCCAATATTAACTATAAAATGCAAAAAGCAACTAAAAATATCCTAATTTCGTTCTAAATTTTCTATTAACTATTGGTGGTTATACTACAGTGAACTAAACTGGAATTAGGGTCGAAACTAATTTTTTTTTCCTTTTTTTGAGTATTTATTCTAATTTATGCAATAATATCAAATAATTACCGAAATTAATTAAAAATTACTTCGGATGCGTGAAAATTAACTTTAATAATATAATTAACTACCTTGAGGCTAGTGAACAACTATATAATTAATTGGAATGAATTCAATATCAACAACTATTTTATTTAAGTTTTGGAAGTAAATGCGAAATACTTGATAAATTTTCTGGAAATTTTTTAAAAACAGATCGAACAAAAAAAGCACAGATTCAGATTCTACTCATTGAGAAGATGAAAGTACATTTAAAGAACATACAATTTGGAGCTAAAATGAAGAGGTTATGAAGGATTTGTAACACTTGAGATTTAATATAAATGGATTAATAGTACTACTCATACCAACAGAGGTGCATCTCCTTTTAAGGGAGTTCATCACCCAAGAACTCCAAAGTTAAGCATGTTTGCACGGGAGTAGTCTTGGGATGGGTGACCCCCTAGAATGTTTCTCAGGGCGCGCATGAGTGAGGACAAAGTGCGCGGTAAAGACTTGTGGTGATTTGTGAGGACAGTACTAGTGGTCTGGAGTAACTCCCTCGGGTCCTACGGGGCCGGGGGTGTTACAGGTGGTATTAGAGCAACCCTGTGACAATGTGCTGACCCGTTGGATATCGGGCGGGCACTTAGCGGGGGAAGATTCTGGGATTTAATTGAGATTGGTTTAAGGACGCAACGAGGACGTTGCAATCCTAAGTGGGGGTGATTGTAACACTTGAGATTTGATATAAATGGATTAATAGTACTACTCATACCAACAGAGGTGCATCTCCTTTTAAGGGAGTTCATCACCCAAGAACTCCAAAGTTAAGCGTGTTTGCACGGGAGTAGTCTTGGGATGGGTGACCCCCTGAGAAGTTTCTCAGGGCGCGCATGAGTGAGGACAAAGTGCGCGGTATAGGCTTGTGGTGGTTTGCGAGGACAGTATTAGTGGTCATGATCTGGAGTAACTCCCTCGAGTCCTACGGGGCCAGGGTGTTACATGATTGAAGCTTTCTCTCTCTACTTGACCTTGGAGCTTGAAAATAAAAGAAGGAGGCTGTTGAGAGCTAATTCAGGGTTTAGAATGGTGTGTTTAAGTTGAGGAAAAAGCCTGCTATTTATAGCCCGAATTTTCTCGCAGGCGCCCAAACTGGCGGCCGCCTTCCATCCACTTCCGGCTGCCTACCGTCATGTCGTCGGCAGTTCAAATCTAGCGGTCTGCGTCAGCCACAGGCGGTCACCTGCCGTTCTTGTATGGCCGCCTACGGTCGCATCACACCGGCCAGTGGTTGCTCGTGTTGCCTTGTGCCGCAGGCGGTCACCAAAGGCGGCCGCCTTTTGTCCAGTGTCGGCAGCCTTCAGTCTTCTTCGGGTTTTGAGTCAAAGTCTGTGACACCGCACCCGAACGTCCTTGAAAATTCGATTTAAAAACTTAACATTTATGTATTGAATTTCCGATTTGCCAAACAATTGTAAAGCGATTAATGTTCTACGTAGTGCACGATTGAATATCGTACTGTTCAAACTCGTATGATAGTGTCGGGTTTGCAAACACTTTTCGGGACTTATTAATAAATAAAAGAGCTCAACATTTTCTAAATAAGTGATCGAATGATTAAAAAGAATACCAATGCCTACAACCCTATCTTTGGCATTTTTGAGCTAAATAATGGAAGTAGGATTTTCCTTCTATAATATCCATCAAGTAAATTATTGGGATGAGCCTACACATATTGGAGATCAATAATGTGATTTAGGAAGTTGACTTGTTCTAAATAAATTAGGATGAGTACAAAAAGACATCTTTTGACAAAGATAAAACAATAGGACCCATTTTCCCCATTTTTGGAAGTATTGGTAGATAATTTGGATCCCAAAATGATTGGGATCAATTGGGAACCACTCCACATGATATTAGTACCTGCAAGACAAATAAAAATGGGTTAGGAAACTTACCTTGGCCGACCACCATGGAGAGGAGCTGCACAAGACTTGATAGGAATCAAATGTTGGGCCACCATCCCTATTTTCGCACAAAATGGTGTGCTGGTTGTCTCCACTCATTATGGGAGTTATACTCGACCAAATGAGGTGTATAAGGTGTCCTTGGATAGCCTTTGAAGTCTAGTATCTCAATTGAGTGGTCTTTGTTCGAGGAGAGAGAGCTTATCTTACCAGAATCGAGCTGAAGTGAGTGGTGGTCTGTAAACTCGAGCTGTGAGAGTGCTGAGACTGTTTGGTTGATATCTCGAGTTATACCAATCCAATTAAGGCGTGTGAGATACCCAAAGAAAGCTCCCAAGACGAGGAATCTGTGAAGGTCTGGTTTGCATCAATCGGAGTAGTGGAAGGCTTCCAAATCGTCCGAGCAAAACACAACCTCGCAGAAACGGATCTACTTTTCTAAAGTAAGTTGTTAACCCCAAAACCTTTCCTTTCATTTTCCCAAATGATATGAACGATTGGTGGAACTATTGTACACTAATACAAGTGTATGAAAGGTCCTTATAAAGTTATTTTATTGATGTAAAGGTTAGATACTAACCTAGAGCAAATCTTGGGAAACTAGGAAACGAGTTAACCGGAAAACACCCATTCTAGGGGCTGTTTTCGTATCAACGATTAAGGGTTGAACTAGCACTTTGAGGAGGCTGTTTAACACTCATATTTGAGCAAGGAATCAGTTCCAAACCCACCTTGACCAAAGCTTTGACAATTGGACCAAGAAGGGAAAGTTTAAAGCTCAATTGAGGTGAGGATTGACATCTAATTGCTTACAACTTGTAGGTTAAGCATGAGATTACCTAAATGCTTAAATCATTATTTTTCATGGATTATGATGATCATATATTGATGAAATATTGATATAGTTGCCAAAGAATGAAATTTGAAATGATTTGAGAATGTATGAATAATATGAGATTTGATGAGTATAAATGAACTATTTTTGCGAAATAGGTATTTTGCTCATGTATGAAGTATTTGGATACATAAACGAATAATTGTGTATTGAGATTGAATACTTAAGTTGCTGCTACATAATTATAATTACGTAGAGAATTACAAATAAAGAGGATAGTGGTATGATAACAATAATCTTAATAGTATTGAAATACTAGTTAGTGATTATTGGAACTTGTTGATTAAATTGATCCTAGGGATTGGATTGTATGAAAGGTACTTGAATATAGTTCAAGTGTATATAATAACTTAGTATGGAACTAAAGTTAAGTTATGGGAAGTCTTTAAGGATGACCCATGGCAGTTTAATGATATGTCAGTTCTAGGCATAGGGTTGCTTGAGAATTGGACCTTAATGCATGGTGATGTAGTAGAGCCGAGCTCTAGAATGCATGTAAGGTGTAGACTTGTAGTCTACGTATTGTATAGCTAGAGCCGAGCTCTAGGGCTTGCGTGGTGATGTAATAGAGCCGAGCTCTAGAACGCAAGGTAAGGAATCGACCCGAGTGACATGAATTGTATGGTGATGTAGTAGAGCCGAGCTCTAGAATACAATGTCGTGTGTTAGGGTTGGACTCTATTGAGTATCGTGGTTTGTAGCCACGGGAAATGGGAATGGTGATTTCTAAATGAACATGGGCCCACGGGCCGACTACTTGACTTTTACCTAAAGTAAGTATATTTTCAAATGGGTAACTTAGGGTTACAATCATAATATACTATCACCCTATTTGAGGGTCTTGTGCTTGAAATACTTGTTGTATATCTATTAGATGCCTGCCACACCAGTACTTTATAGTCGTATAGAGTACTGACCCCTTCGGGGGCGTCCCACCACCATTTCAGGTTGAGGCTAGAGCTTGTTTCCTGTGCTCGTTGCCCGAGTGATTTCCCCGGAGAGAAGACTTGGTTCGTGCTTCCTCCATTCAGTTTTAGAACATTAATAAACATGCCCATGGATATTTTACTTTAGAGCCTGCGTGCTCATGTTCGCCCTGTGTGGCCCTTTGTCTTAAACAATGTTTTCCGCTGCGTATTGAATTACTTATTATGTATGTTTATGGATGACTTTTGTGTGAATGATATTCATGACGCCTTGTATAATATGAATGTGTTGGACTGCGGTTGACTATTCGTATTGTACGGCGGGTTGTTGACGTGTCCGGGGAGGTCCGGGGCGTGACAATTAAGGTGGTATCAGAGCAACCCTGCGACAGTGTGTTGACCCGTTGGATATCGGGCGGGCACTTAGCGGGGGAAGATTCTGGGATTTGATTGAGATTTGAGATTGATTTATGGGCGCAACGAGGACGTTGCGTTCCTAAGTGGGGGTGATTGTAACACTTGAGATTTAATATAAACGGATTAATAGTACTACTCATACCAACAGAGGTGCATCTCCTTTTAAGAGAGCTCATTACCTAAGAACTCCAAAGTTAAGCGTGCTTGCTCGGGAGTAGTCTTGGGATGGGTGACCCCCTGGGAAGTTTCTCAGGGCGCGCATGAGTGAGGACAAAGTGCGCGGTAAAGGCTTGTGGTGGTTTGTGGGGACAGTACTATTGGTCTGGAGTAACTACCTCGGGTCCTGCAGGGCCGGGGTGTTACAAAGTCAATGTTGACTTCTGATTTTTTCCATAGGCGGCCAACCAGGTGCCCAGAATGGTCGACTCCTTGGGCGCCTTCTGCTAAATTTGTCTGGCAAATGTTGTGTTTCCTGCTCTTCAAGATTGTCTTCTGGATCACTTGGATATAATGCTTGCTTCTTCCGGTATGAATTCATTTGTTACTCAAATTGACTCATTTTGTGCTCAATTGACCCAAAATTTCGGCAAACATATTATGAATGTGATTTTCTCCTGATTCTCATGAAACTTGAATAAAAATTTCTAAAACATGTCTTTTCTTTCTATTTTCAATCAAAATTCGCTTAAATTTGATAAGAAAAATAAGTACAAAAATGGACTTATCGGGCGTGTTCTTGATGAATGTCTGTGGTTGTTTGAACAAAATTTATTGTTGCTTAAAGAGATTCAGGCAGAGGATATTCTTCTACAGATTATACTCTATGAGGCTGATTTTTGGGTGAAAGTACACAATGCTGCTTATGGTGTTATGAATTTCGGATCTGCTAGAAATATTGGTAATTATATTGGTAAATTCATTAGTTTTGATGATAAAAAATTTGATGAAAACTGGAAGTCATATTTGAGAATTAGATTTCACATGGATGTTAGGAGACCTTTGAAAAAAGGTACTACTTTGAAAAAGGTGGGATTTAGTCAATGGATGGATTTTAAGTACGAAAAGCTCCCAAATTTCTGTTTTGTTTGTGGTATTATTGGGTATTCTGATAAGTTTTGCCTGGTAGTATATGAGGGGGTGAATATCACTTTTGATAAAAATTATGAAGTTGGTCTTAGAGCTGGGATTGGGGTGAAGACCATTCCTACAGGGGGTATTAGGTGGTTGGTTGAAGGGTCCTTCAGTACTGGGGTGGGGATGTCCGATGGGCAGGATAATGATAGACAGGATTGGAAGGAGAATACATGCACTGGACTAGCTCCATAAAGGAAGGAAATTAAGTTAGGCCAGAGTAGACCTCGGGGGAACCAAAGCGTAGGACCTGGGAAGAAGAGAAAGAAGTTGCTGCTACAGGGGAAGACATGACACTTGACGAACAAAAAAACGAAGCAAAGGCAGACCTCCTGTAGGCCCACCGGTTTGCGTTGGATGGCCGGAGAGCTCAAGAAAGGATACAATGAAGGTGCTCATGGCGATGAAGGTGCTATGTTTTATTTTGTTGCTATTTCTTTCAATTGTAAGACTCATGCATTAGTATTTGGTGAAGTTTGGCCTGCTTTAATCGTCTGTGGCTCAAGTTTGTCCATTAATGAATCAACGAGTTATATTGCTTGTTTGAAAGTGATTAACTCCAAGTCTGATTCGTGGACTAACAATTATTTGTGATTGCCTACTTTTTTACTTCGTTTCTGAATACTAATAATTTGAAATAAGTCTCATTCTTCAAAAAAAATGATCCATGCACAACTCACTCACCCCTTTTCTGGCTATTCCTTTCTTGAAACAGGGTCGTCTCAAAATAAAAAAAAAGGTGACAACTTTGGTACCTTTTCAAAACATGGGGTACAGTATCTACCATTCATTTGATTGAACCACATCACTTTATCATTTTTAATTTAAATTTAAATAATTCAAGTGCAACATTCTCATTGGTCCACGTGGACAAATGTATGGTAGGGTACCATAAATCTACCTAAAAACAATTCCTCTTTTTTTTTTTGTTCCTTAGCCGTCTTCGGAAAACCCATTATCAAGAGAAAGCGTCTGGAAGAAACACCTTCTTCAGTTCTTCAGCTTAGCTAACGGCATTCAAACCTTTGTACAGCATCCTTTACATTTCTGGAACCTTTCTACTTTTCAATCTTCTGTAAATTAGGGTGTGATTTATTTCTATACTTCACTTTTGGACTCCATCTGAATTGCTGATATTCTGATGTGCCTTGTCTAAGATTCGGTTTGAGAATGAGGAATTTCGTATTGGGGTTTGTTTTATATCTTTATTTTGCGCTTCTACTGAGTGTTGGAGCTCTTAGGTTTCACCAGAGTCACCATACTGAGAGAATTGAAGGTAAAACTCCAATTCCGCCCTTTTCCGTTTATTTAATCGCAGTTAATATAAATTCCTTAAACTCTTTCAATTGTTTGAGCTTCAGTTCTGTGATTATGGAAGATTGAGTAGGAAGTACTCCGTATAATTTTAGAAAAATACATATTCATTCTGTCCCTTGATAAGTTTCATTTGTGACCTTTAATAGTAATAATATTGTAAAAAAAATTGACAAAAATGTGATAAAGAAATCAAGAGAAAAGAGAGCTCCTCCTAAATACCTCAAATTGAGACTGAGATTCAAGAGTTTGGGAAGTGTATACTGTATAGGTCCTCCACTTTCACCCCCTTCTCCCCTTTCTTCCTTCCTTCCAACCAAACAAGGGCTAAATGTGTAAACTGAAGAGAATTGTAAGATCTTTGAAGCTGATTGATTTGGTTGTTTTTCTATATGTTCTGCTCTTGGTTATCTTCTCTGTTGCATCTTAAAACCACTAGTGTGGTCTAAAATACCAACTTGGTGTATTCAGGTTCAAATGTTAGATAATTAGGGTTTTGGTAATGTCTTTCTTCATATTGTTGTGTGGGTTGGACTTAGGCAGTGTTTGAAATTTTCTAAAAAGAAAAGGGGAAAATGGAAATAGAACATCGGGTTCCCCCAATATAGAGAAAGTGTAAATTTAGCCCCTCTATGATTAGTTTCATTAACTTTAGTATTTTAATGGTTATCCGGAAATAGTCTCTCTGTAATGAAGCAACAGCCAGTCTATGCAATGTTCGACTCGATTTTCCCTATGGGTCATCCGGAAATAGTCTCTCTCTACTTTAATAATAGAGAGGTAAGGCTGCGTACATCCGAGATCCGACCCCCCCTTACCCCACTGTAAGTGGGAGCCTTTGCGACACTGGGGTGATGATGATGATGATCGGTATTAGACTATTAGTAGATTGATTAATTTATCTAATTAAACAGCTAACTATCATTTTTACATTAATTTATCTTATATTCCTCCATTCTTTTCAAATAATGCAATACTGGAAATTATAAGAAGTTGATAGAAATTAGACAAATTAATATTCCTAATATGATTTACCTTTATGCTTTTGTAAATAATATGCTCGAAGTAGGGTATGTAAATAGTGTGAAGTCTAAGTCCTATGATAAAAAAAAGAACGGATAATGTGTATGTCTTTCTCCCTCCTTCGACTTCAATTTTCATATATATTGTTGTGTAATTTTGACCTGGCACCCCATGTTGTTGTTCTTTTTCTTTTGATTTGAGCAATAGTTTACTTCTCTCAGATTCTCGTTATCCCTATGCTTTTCCAACTGGTAGTAGTATATATGTTTCTCCTTAGTGCTTACTTTGACATCTTCATTCCACCATGTCGTGTTCTCTCTATTACAAAATTTCCCTTTGGTTCACCCTGAACCTCTTTTGCTATGCACATGCATATTTCAGCTCCATCCAAGTAATATTTGCACCATCTTCCATTGTCCAGTTACCTCCTGCAGCTACTTTGTCAACAAATGACTTGACATTGCCTTCTTTAAACCTCCATAATATAATGATATGGTCCATCTGAGCAACATTGTTCTTAACCTGATCTCCTATACGAATGTCAAACATCATAAGTCTTTGATGAGTAGTGTTGCGTTCTCTCCAGGCAGCTCTACTATGCACACAACTTCTCTTATTATATGTTCAAGTCATTAAAAAGTCAATCTGGCTCAATTTTACCACTTCTAAGTTCTAAATGTTACTAGATGAATTTCCTGCTTTTGTAACCATGTTTAGGTATTATCTTGTCATACGACAGAGCAGAGTCAATAATAATCTCTCCTGGTCTAAACAATTCTCTTTATTTGAATTACATTTGATATTATTGATTCTCTTGAGTTTAAACAATTCATAAGGTTAACAAACGATTGGAATATGTTTGCAATTCAAAAGAAATTTTATATTAATTTTCATCAACAAAAAGTAAAGCAGTTTAAAAATCAAGTTATCTACTCCGAGTATATGATTTTTATGACTATATTATGCTTTTTAGTTCTGCGGATTGGATTTTATAGGCTTAAACACTTCATATTACTACCGCCATCCCATAAAAAGAGCCTTGTTGGCCAAGGTACAGTATAAGGGACAAGTGCGATAATTAATTAATCTTAGTATCTTACTTATGCTTTTGAATTTGTTTGTTAATTTGCCCAAATTAATGTTATGTAGTCGGTTTGTGACTATCTTTCATCAAATCACATGAAAAATTAAATACATTTGATTTAACTTGACTGCTATTGGGACAAAAATGTTTGAAATAAGGTTCTTTATTTTTCGGACAGAGGGATTATGAATTAAAGTTTTCTTCCAAGAGGGACTAAAAGGACCACTGCTAAAATAACTAATGGATTAGAAATGGTGACATTACTTATTATTTGAGATTTATAGGGACCACATTCGATAATTTAACATATTTGGAGGACAAAAGTCAAAAGTAAACTATGAGTGGGGACAGTCTTGAATGCCAAATCAGGATTCAGATACTATCAGTGTATGTATACCTGTATGCAAGACAGTATCCTTTGTGTATATTAGGAAACAAACCAAATTTACAGCTTATCAAAAAAAGTTTATTTACAGAGATATTTAGTACAACAATCAAATTATAGTTCATGATATAGGAATTGCTTCTTACTTGTTTTCATCAAACCTTTTTTAACAAAGTTTGTTAGGCTGGTGAAATCATGGTTGTGGGTATGGAAGGAGCAGTGGGAAAGGAAATGGAAGTTTTAAAATTGAGTTGAGCTAGGTGTACACAAAAGTTGTACATTTTTTTTGTACACTTGTCTGTCCCGCACAGACAACTCTACAAACAACTCTCTACAAACAACGAGTTGTCTGTGGACAGACAAGTCTATGGGGGTCAGACAAGTGTACAAAAAAAGTATAGTGTACTCCACGCATTTTTCTTTAAAATTTGATCTTTTTTCTTTATTGGAATCAGTGTTCCCGTATTCCTTCTGTAGTAACACGTAGGGGGCACAAAGTGATTTGGAAGAGCGATGCTTTTTAATGAATGACAATGCTACAGAATGAGATTAGAAACATGGGAAAGGAAACCCAGTCCCATTTCAACTTGAATCCTTCGTATTCTTGAAAAAAAATAAAAATAAAATTGCATTTTTTGCTTTCTTGAAAAACATTCAGGCAGTGCCGGTGATGTGCTGGAAGATGATCCTACTGGTAGGCTAAAAGTTTTCGTGTACGAGCTTCCAAGCAAATATAACAAGAAAGTTCTGCAGAAGGATCAACGATGTCTTAACCACATGTTTGCTGCAGAGATTTATATGCACCGTTTCCTTTTATCCAGCCCTGTGCGCACTCTCAACCCCGAGGAGGCTGATTGGTTTTACACACCCGTGTACACCACTTGTGACCTCACACCAAATGGTCTTCCTTTACCCTTTAAGTCACCCCGCATGATGAGGAGTGCTATACAGCTTATTGCTTCCAACTGGCCCTACTGGAATAGGACAGAAGGGGCTGATCACTTCTTCATAGTCCCCCATGATTTTGGGGCTTGTTTTCACTATCAAGTAAGATATAAAATTTAAATCTCCCCAATCATCCCTCTCCTCTGGAGAAAGAGACATAACCCCAGGCTTCTGGAGCCTTCATTTTATATTGGCCTTTGTTTTGGATTGCAGGAGGAAAAAGCGATCGAAAGAGGTATTCTTCCGCTACTCCAGCGAGCAACCTTGGTTCAAACTTTTGGACAACGAAATCATGTTTGCTTGAAGGATGGGTCCATTACTATTCCTCCATATGCTCCTCCACAGAAAATGCAATCGCACTTTATCCCTCCAGAGACTCCACGATCCATCTTTGTTTACTTCCGAGGTTTGTTTTATGACGTTGGCAATGATCCTGAAGGTGGTTATTACGCAAGGTATATATTTCTTGCTCCCATTTTTATCCAATTACTTATTTACCATTTAGGTATTGAGACACATTGTTAAGGAGGGTGTCCCTAATATGGATTATGAAGGGTTTTAATGGAGTTTAGAATTTGGTCAGAATTTAGGTGTCCCCGATTTGGATTTGTGTGGAATCCATGAAAATAATGGTGTTCTCAGACATTCTATGAATTTCTATTATTACTTATTTGGATGGATTTTAATTGATTTTGGTGGATTTCTACATACCAAACATTCCACCACAAATCTTGTAGACACCCCTAGGATTTCAAAATCCATAATCTTATACAATCCATCACACTCCGTATATAACAACATTAAAGTTCCTAACTTGAAGAAGCCACAAAAATATTAGAAAATATGAAAAATATATGACAAATAAAATATGTCTTAAATAAAAACATGACTTAAAAAACAATCCTCAATTTCCTTTGCAGAGGGGCCCGAGCTGCGGTGTGGGAGAACTTCAAGGACAATCCTCTATTTGACATCTCTACAGAGCATCCAACTACATACTACGAAGACATGCAGCGAGCTATCTTTTGCTTGTGTCCGCTCGGGTGGGCACCATGGAGTCCAAGATTAGTTGAGGCAGTGATATTCGGTTGCATCCCTGTTATCATAGCTGATGACATTGTGTTGCCTTTTGCTGATGCCATCCCATGGGAAGATATCGGGGTTTACGTAGCAGAGAAGGATGTGCCAAATCTGGACACAATCCTAACTTCTATTCGGCCAGAGGAAATCTTGAGGAAGCAGAGATTGCTTGCAAACCCTTCAATGAAACAGGCTATGCTGTTCCCACAGCCAGCTCAGCCTGGGGATGCATTTCATCAGATTCTGAATGGACTTGCTCGGAAGTTGCCTCACTATGGGAGTGTTTACTTAAAACCCGGTGAAAAGATCTTGAACTGGACTACTGGACCAGTGGGAGACCTCAAACCTTGGTAGTTGTGAGTTGTGACTAGATGGAAATCAGTGTGTGCACAATTGCATCTTTCTCAATAATATGTCCTCCCTGCACCAGATATGTTATCTTTTTTGGAGTGAAATGTTGAGGTTGTAAGATGTGTTGCGAAGGCAATTGAACTGTAAAATAATATTGAGGAAGCTGGTTTCTGTTGAAAGATGCATTTCTGTGGATGTTTTAAAAACGTCTACTATAAATATTTGTAATTGATCGTAAAGAAAAAAAAATGATGTTTCGATCCAGCAAACAGTATCAGAGTGGTACATATTGGGCATTTTCCCTAAAATTTATCTACAGACTACAATCCCCATGGTCATACGTATTTCACCAGACCAGTGGGAGACCTCAAAGTTCAAACCTTGGTAGTTGCGACTTGACTAGATGGAAATTTGTGTGAGCGAAATTGCATCTTTCTCAATAACATGCCATCCCTGCTCTACTTATAATCATTTATAATGACTGTTAAGAAAAAAATGATCTTTTAGATCCAGCAAACAATATCAGAGTGGTATATATTGGGCATTTTCCCTAAAATTTATCTATAATCACCGTGGTTATACGTATTTCACCATGGGAGGGGGGGGGGGGGGGGTCACAATAATAGCGTTAGGGGTGGATCCTATCTCAGTTCTTGACCTGGACTATACCAGATATAGTTTATTACCAAACTGGTACCTGAAACCGAAATCTGGTCTCTGATTCCTCCAAAATAGGACTAGTTGATACTAGTTCTTTTTGAGAATCAAACAATCAAACTGGAGTCGACCAGTGAATTGATCTGGTTCTCCTTTTCCCATGACCTAAAAACGGTGCGTCTCGTCTCAGTTCAGAAACTGATTGGGTGCACCACTAATTGCCATTAAGCTATCCTGGAACACATACAACACTGAAACCCTTTATTCCAAACCAATGGAATGGACAAAAATATAATCTACCTCTATATAAAAAGAGGTGGAATTGAGGCCATTTTCCCGCTCAAAAATGTCACCATCATGAGAAAGAAAGATGCGTCTAAAAATCCTAAATATACGGGTCAAAACTGGGTAGGGTCTGGTGGACTGTGAGCTCATTCACCTGTTCCATCGTATTGGGTAATGTACCAAGCAGTGTTGCCGTGTTGTGTGTACGAAGCTTTTAACTTACGGTTAAACAAGTGAACAAGACGGAGCACTGTGTATTACACATCGGGTGACGAGAAAGGTGTCGGTCTTTTTTGTTTTCCAGTAGAGCTTATTCAAAATTTGCATCCAAATCTTCTCTGCACGCATCTGGCTGTTCAATCGATTGAAACCGCCAAACCGGGCTGAAACCATACCAGAAGCTTCCGGTGGAGGGATCATTATAGTCAGGCTGGGGTTCTCAGTTTTCGTTGGTAGATCGTTGCCAACATCTCCAGCAGGCGTGACCCCCGGATCGAGATAGCAATCGGCTAAGCATATTCATTAAGAATCGCCAGCAACGTCGTGTTCATCATTGGGCGCCGGCGAATGGTTATGTGACACAGATGTGACCAGACCAGCCATGGCAAGCTTGCACTTTCGATGGCTAGAAGACGGAGTTTGTGCTCCAGCGTCGGCAGAACTACAGTTCCGGCTACGCCAACCAGACTTATTTAAACTGAGCAAGTGGTTGTTGAAATTTTCCGAAGCGGTCCTCTCAGAAAAAATGAGCTAGTTAGGATGGCTACAAACATCTCCAGGTATCCACCATTTTGGTTTGAAACTTTAATCGTATGATTGTAATTGTTATGCCATTAAAGAAACCAATGCTAAACTCAGTAAATACAGAGATGCTGACGCCGAGAAGGTTGTAATGCTTTATATAAGGAGGTGAAGACGATCGAGATAATAGAAGCCTATTGCAGCCATGAAATTTTCCCTATCCAATCGTAGAGGAGAATTGGTAAATTCCGGTATTTCATTCCTTCTCTTGATGATATTGAAGAGGCTCTTTTGGGTGATAATTTTAGGAAAAACATTAGTTCTCCTGATTATGAATAATAACATGTTTACCGGATTATGAAAAACGTGGAGGATTATTATAGAATCTTTGAAAAACGCATTTAGTTTACTGATGGGGCTTCTATGCCCATTACTACTTAATCTCATGTTTGCAAAAAAATACATATATATATATATATGTATGTATGTATGTATGTATGTATGTATGTATGTATGTATGTATGTATGTATGTATGTATGTATGTATGTATGTATGTATGTATGTATGTATGCATGCATGCATGCATGTATGTATGTATGTATGTATGTATGTATGTATGTATGTATGTATGTAAGTTGTGGTAAAATAAAGCAGAAGTGAGGGCCAACCTCAATATTTAGGTCTGCCCAATTTAACTATAAAATGCTTTTCCTGTTCTTCGTTCTTGGTTTTGAATAAACCTATTCTATTCTATTAAAGCAGAAGTGAGTACCATAGATAGTTCTCTGCACGTAGAAGGTAAATAATTGAGTTTCTTTTACATTTTTATAGGCCCCCCAATTTTTGTAGGTATTGGACGATAATGTTTTGATGTATTAACACATTGATATTGTATTATGTTTATCTGTATTTACATGATAGAGAACTAAAGTTCATTTTCCATCTCTGGCTTATTGTTTAAGGTCAATGGGTAGCTTATATTTTATATGTGGGGGTAATGGGATTCTTTAGATGGGTTATTACGAATTTCGAATGAAAGATGCAAGGCAGATATCAAATTTGATGTTTATATGACTTCAACATGATCCCATTGCTGGTGTGGGGGTTGATTGAAGGACCTGATTTAAAAGGTATAGTTCATTTTAGTTATGTTTATATACAATATTCATATTTCTTTATGAAAGATGCGAAGTTGGTGAGGATATTTCTTTATGAATCCGACTTCCTTTGCCGGTTTCCGCCTTCTACACTGTTATGATGCTTCTAGCCTGCAGTTAAACTGTGTTGATTATGATTCTTTGAAGCAATGATTTGAACCACTAAACTATTTTTGTAAAACATTTCAACACACTTATTCTTCCTTTTCTGAATTACATATTTAGCAGGACACTATGATACGGTATATCTCAATGACGCCATGCCTATAAAGCTTCATATTGATTAGTCAATTTGTTGTTTGAACATAGTCAAGGGGCTGTCCAGGATAGCCATGGGCAGTTCAAGCAAGAGTTAGGACCCTGGGCAGTGAATTGGGAGTCCAGAAAGCCAACGGGCTAGGCATGAAAATGATGGGTGGTCTAGGCAAAGATCAATGGCACCTGAAACATGTATTTTTACTTTTTTTGCTCCGTAGATGATATTTTCTTCTTCTTTTTATCTAAAGTTAATATATTTGTGGATCGTGAAGTTGTGAAGACCAATGTTATGCAAGAAACTCCTCCAATGTTGAGTGATGAGAATGATAAACACATTACAAAAAAGTCTTTCAAAATTTGCAGTTTGCTCGCTCATTATGATAGTTTGCTCGGGAATATTTGATGACGCCAACTGTAACAAAGTGATTTGAATTTCTGTATTATAACACTGCTAAGTTCAGTTTCAAAGGGTGAAAGGGCACTGACTGAAGGGACACGTGATGAAAAAGCCACAATGAAAGAGACAAAGGATAGAAGAGGAGTGTTGTAATCGAAACGAGGATGCTGATAAGTGTAGAATGCTGCTCCCATGGCTTCTTCCAAGTTCTCCGTCATCATTTCCTAACCCTGTGGTAGCATTTCAAGATTTCTCATTTCCGCCTCATATGTACGATAGTATATATCTATATATCTATATATTTGTATCTATATATATACATAATGAAATGGAAATCCAGTTAGCACCACCTGACAACCCTATTTTTTTTATTTGGGACGGGGGTTGTAATTAAGGCTCAAATATTGCCATGTATTTCACAAAAAAATCATTCTGTGAGTATGTTTCCAGCGATTCCATGAATCACATATGCTCATTCAATTTTTTTTCCTGTCAGCCAATGTGTGTATCAGTGTATTAGAGTTGTATAGCAATCAGTCTTGTGCCCTTCAAGTATTGCATATCATTTAGGTTCTAACTTCAAGTAGTGTAAGAAAGTATGGACGGCTCAGCAAGTTGCTCATTTAACATTTTAAACTATTGAGTATTCAATATCTCTGGATTCTCTGCATATTGATGTCAGGCATATTGACGTCGGTTGAAATTTTGTTGTCCTCTAAATAAAAGATCATTCAACTCCATATATATAGTTATCCGTAAGAAAAGCCATTCAATATATTGTTGTCAGCTGGTACTCATTTATTTTGGTTTAAGCTTCAGATCAACACTTACAGAAGATAAAGCAGTTGATTTATATGCACTAGAACGTGATGGATCAGACACTTCAAGAAGTTGTCTAAACAATGGTCATCTACTTAGGGATGGACCGGACCTGGTCCGGTTCCGGGTCAGGCCCGGGCGGGCTTGGTTTTTTCGGGAGTGAAGCCCGGCAATGGACCTGGAATCTATCGGGACCGGGTCGGACCGGATCGGCCGGGCTGGTCCCTGTTTCCCCAGTCCCGGAACCACCCACAAAATTCCCTCGGGCCTGTCCTAGGCCCGGCTATTCTACTCTAAATCATGGTAATTCTGAATCATTTTCAAGATATTATAAAAGGTGGGTATTGTCAAGGAAAGATTTTCACACTTCGTTGGATCACATGCTTGAAGATCCGAAGGATTTTTATCGAGTTAAACCCACTTGACGGTTTTGACACATAACATTAAGATTTACAATTTGAGTGACTTGATACATAATTTTGTAGTCTACATGTGGGAATTTAGAGACACTAATACGGTAATAGTTTCTTTTAGAGAAAAAATGAAGCAAGCAAGTTACCCAAAGTTGTGAAAGTTATTTGATTAATTTATAAGCATTTCCATTCAATTTATAATTTACTATCGTTTCACTATTTGCAAAATTAGAACTTCAAATTGTGAAATTGTATTATTCTTTTAGTACTCCATGGTTGAATAAACAAATAACTCAACCATGACAACCACAGTTTTAACTTATGAGGTCCACAACTATTGTGCTCTCAAGACCCTTTTAGTAATATTATGAGGCCCATAACTATTAACTATTGTGTTCTGAAGACCTATTTAGTAATATGATTGTCATTTCCAAGTATATAGTAAAAGGGGTCAACTAAAAGTGTACAAAAGTAATGCTAATCCATTAAAACATAAGGGCACAACAGCACAAGTTCCATTATATTACCTCCGCTCTCAAATAAATGTAATTGTCAACTATTCATTGTTTGCTAATACGTAGTATACAACTT